GCCCTCACTGGCTGGGGATGCTGGGCTTGATGCAGCCCCGGACGCGAAGGACGTTTAATCGCTGTGTCCAGATCATTTAGAAAAACAGCAAAGAGCACTGGATGCAGAACTGAGCCCTGGGGAATCCCAGTGATGACTGGATGACAGATTGATGTAACTCCATTTCCTAGAATCCTTTGAGCCATTTCTCGTCCCCAAAGCCTCCTTTTGGAGGGCAAAACTCCTCCTTTTCAGGCACCAATCCTTTATTACATTTGTCATAGGCTTGTTTTAGGGCCCACAGTTTAATTTTGAGGGTCTAAATTCTTGCCAATAGAGCAGAAAGCCTCATTTTACTTTCCAAAGCTAGAGTTCTAGACTCCATAGTGTTTTTCATAAGGTCCAAAAGCTCCTTTTCAGGCACCAAGCCTAATTTTTAGCTTCCAGAGCCCCCTTTTCAGAGATTAAATCCTTTCTATGAAATCCATACTCCTCATTAAGGGTTCAAAGCCTCATTTCCATTTCCAAAGCCCCATTTTTAGGGCCCAAAGTCCATTCTTAAGAGAAAACTCTCATTGGGAGGTTCTCAGCTCTCATTGTTAAGGTCCAAAGCACTCGCTAGTAGCTCAAAGCCTCCACTCAAAGCCCCCTTCTTAGTGCTGAAATCTTCGTTAGTGGGGTCCCAACCTGTCTTTTTTCACCCACAGCCATTTTATAGGGCCCAAAGTTTCCTTTGAATGGGTCCAAATGCTTGTTTTTTAGGCAGGAAAGCCTCTTTTTAGGCTCCAAAGCTACATTTCCAGTGTCCAGTGCCCCATTTTGACTTTCCAAAGTCTCAGCTCTGACTTCCAAAGCCTCATTTCATGCTCCAAAGCCTCCTTTTTATGGTGCAAATGCTCAAATGTAGGTGGAACGTCTCCTTTTTTGAGTTCAAAGCTGCATCTTGAGTGTCCAAGCCTCCTTTTCAGACTCTCAAGCCTCATGTTTAAGATTCGGTCAGTCGTTTTCAGGGTTCATGAGGAACTGGGTGTGTCAAAACCCTCATTTTGATGATCCCAACCCCTCTTTTAGGCAACTCAGTCTCATAACCAGGTCCATAAGATTTATTTTTAGGGTCCAAAATCTCCTTCCTCAGTTCCAAGCCCTGCAATTATACGTTCAAGAACTCACCTTAAGGGCCCAGAGCATCAGTCTGAAGCCCCAAAGTCTGATTGTGAAGGTCCAAATTCTCAGTTTTTACTAGAATCCTTTATATCCTTTCTAGCCCACAAAGACTCAGTTTGAGGGCCAAACCCCTACTATTCAGGGATCAATCACAGAATCAAAGAATAGTAGGGGCTGGAAGAGACCTGAGGGAATAACATAGTTCAACACCCCTGCTGAAGCAGGGTCACCCAGAGCAGGCTGCACAGAAATACATCCAGGCAGGATTTGAATATCTCCAGAGAAGGAGACTCCACAACCC